ACAGAAGAAAGATTGCAGAAAAAATGGAAAAGAGAGTTTGAACGGCAGTGAACGCGGCTAATACAGTTGGGACAATTATTGCAAGCATTAATCCACCGGTTACGGCTGTTGCCACCGTTATCCCTACTGTTAGAACTGTGCTTAATGTTTTGAAAACAGAATCAATTCTACTCCATGTTTTTCTGCATTTGTTAAAGTGTTTTAGTTTTTCTTTTAGTTCGTTTTGTTTTTCTATCATGTAGTTTTGTCTGCTTTCTAGTTCCATTTTTTAGGTAATTGAGTGAACTTCTGATAATGCAAAAGATGGAAAGTGTTTAACATCTACAATAGGTTGCCCATAAAGACGTCCATTCTTTATTTTTTCATTATCTGTTATAATTATTTCAGGTTTAATAAAAAAAAAAAAAACTATTACACTTATTAAGGATATTTGTTCTTTCGAGTCATTAATCTTATTCAGATGAACTGAAAATTTTGGTTTTTCGATATTGATTCTTATCCAACATTTACAAGTATATATACCTCCAACTTCTGTTCCATCATTGCGTTCAATTATTGATGAAAATATTATAAATTGTTTTCCTTGTTGACTTTTATGAATATCGATTGAGGTAAATAAATTAGCTGAAGAGATAATTCCGTCTTCATGTAAAAAAAACTATTATTAACAAAATGTAGTTTTATGTATTCAAAGTCTGTTGCTCGTAAAAACTGATTATTGATTTCTACTTTTTGCGGTACTGGATTTCTAATAATACTTACTGATGGTGGACTTTCCGTTTCCAATATCATATCAAAACTACTCAATGCAAATTTATCTTCTTCTTTATCTGGTATGATTAACATTCTAAACTTATCTATATATTTTCCACTCGTTTTAATTTCATATAAGTGATGAGTCTTTCTGTTTTCGTCGTTAATTTCTAATTCTTTAATTTCTACATTTTTTGTACCATTGATAAACTGAAGAACTTTACGAGCGTTAAATTTTTAAAATTCAGGTAAGTTTTGTTTGAAGAATATTGTATCAACTTTTACCTGTAAAGGAAAAGTTATTTCAAGTACAAGTTTTCCTTTGAAAATAAAAGCAGAATATTCACCAAGAAACATTGAATTGTGATCATCATTTTTTGGTTTATATACTCTTATATTTGCTGTAAATCCATATTTTTTATATTCATAGTCTCTTGATTTATCAATATTATCAGTAATAGAAGGACCATAACGTTTCAAACCAAATGGAAGATTGAAATAATATGATTCTTTCTTGAGATACTTTTTTTCTAATGCGACTATATTTTTGTCCTGTTTTAAAACTAGGTTATTAATAGTGGTTATCTGTTGTTGAATAACACTATCATCAATATTTTGTATTTGTTGTTGAATATACGTTTTAATTTCACTATCATCAATATTTTGTATTTGTTGTTGAATATAGGTTTTGATTTCGCTATCATCTATGTTTTGTATTTGTTGTTTAATATTTCTTAGTTCTTTTTGTAATTCACTGTTAAGTTTAGGTTCCAGAGCATTTAATAC